TTCTGCCCAGCCCGGCGGCGGGAGGGCAGCCGCCACCGTTAGCTCAGGCGGCAGCGCTTCAGGGAGCTTCTCTGGCCTTCGTCTGGAGGGCTGCCGACAAGCCCTTCCTTCCCGGGGCGCCTTCTCTCCAAAGTGGGATCCCTCTGCGTTTTCTTTCCCTCAGCAAGTCGGCGCTCGCGGACCTGGATGCTAGAAAGGCGAGAGTCTCTTGCGCTCTTCCTCCTCCCCGCCGCCCTTGTTGACAGGACAGGGGGTGGTGGTTTGCTGTGCCTTGCCTGCTTTGTCACTTGCGTGAAAAAGTGGAATTCCTCGAGCGGCGTCGGGAAGAAGTTGAGTTGCTCTTCCAGTGCCAAACTACCCGAGCGAGACGGTTTGCTTCTGTTTTGTTTTTCTCCCGAGCGACTTAAAATAAACTTTCTTTCCCCGTCTTGCTCTTGGTAACGCATATTTTCCCTCTCTGTTTTTGTTTTTCTCCCCTTGGTGTGTTGATGTTCTCCAACACTTGCTTGTCTCAGATCTGCGCGGTTGATTTGATTGTAGTTTATCGAGCCTGAGCTCTGGTGTGTATTTGCCCTAATACCAGAGCAAGGGGGTTAAGCATGTGATCCTGCCCCCCTTTTCCAGCTGACACAACCCATGCTGGATTTTATTCCGGATGTGTAAGTGGTGAAAGGTTTTGAAAGCTAGAGTCATTTTAATATAAATAGACGTGCATATTTTCTGGGGTGAGATAGGCATTCCCGCTTTCTTATGCAAAGTAGAGAAATGGCCCTCACCAAAATGAGGTTTTTGGTTTTAAAGGTAACATTTAAACTGCTCCAAATATTAAAAGACTCCTCTTAAATACGCTTAGTGTGAGTTTATTTTTTGTTTGTTTTTGTTGGTTGTTTTTCTAGACTTCTTGAAAATATCGTTCGGATTTAATGTATCCTTAGGGTGTATGTATTGCATCTATTTTTATTTGGAAAGCAATGTTAAATACTCATAATATATTTTTCTTTGTTTCCTTACCTCTATAAATGTGTAGCTTGTTAAATTCGTTAGGAAACTCAAATATAAAGTTATTTAACCATGATCAGAAGTAACTGCTTGGTTTGTAATACGGTGCACTAAGATTGTGCTGTTTTAATTCCTTGCAGTTCTTAATAGATACAGTATCGGTTGCTTTTAGGGTGTTGGTTTGGCGTGTTTCTGAATACTTCACAAAGCAAGCTGTGAGCTGTTGCATGAGGAAAGAACTGATAACTTCTTAAGCTGTTTTCTAGCAGGTTAGTTGCAGACTGGGTGGCAAAATTGCTGGACAAATCTATACTCTGGGTATGCCACAATCTTGTTTGTGGTTTAAAGAATGTAAGCAATCATGACAAAAGGACTGTGATATTACTTAGAGGTGGGGTTCTTTTTGTAGAAAGGAAAATTCCTGTATTTCTCATGTATGGTATTATGTTGTTGATGGTTTTCTTGACTGCTCATTACAGAACCAGACACCATGTCTGCTGTTGCTTCCTCAAAAGAAGATACAATGTCATCTAAAAAAGCAGATGAAAAAGAACCTGAAACTGAAAACAAAGCTGAGGAAAGTGATGAGGATGAAGAGGAAGAAGAGGAGGAAGAAGAAGAAAAGGGTACATCTGTTTACCTAGAATGATTTATCTTTTTTAAAAAAAAAAATCTAGGCTTATTGAGTGCAATCACAGAAAATTGTACAATTATCATTTAGGAGAGTCAACAGAAGAACTCTCTAATGGATCATAGATCGCTTCCCAGCAGACTGTAACAGAACAGGCTTAGCACTAGAAACCACGATCCTGCTGATCCGCGTGAAGGAATTTCCAGCAGTCTGAGTTCCTGCACGAGAATATTTTTGGTTGGGTAAAACCCAACTCCTTAGATGACTGTAAGATGCAGGTTCTTAGAGTCTTATATTGAATTGGCTGTATAAATGTACATATCCAAAAATAATCTTTTTTTCCCTAATAATACATTGAAATGATCTGTGTTTGCAGAAGAGGAAATGAAAAAAAATATATCTGTGAAATAGCTTAGGAAATAATGCAGATTTGCTTAGCTACTATGAATTACTGTGTGTCCAAACTTAATTATAGAAAAGTATATCAGTGTAACGAATTTTATCTATAAAAATCATAATGTATCTCTGCATGAAACAATTGGAGTTGTTAATCCTGACGTTACAGGAGGAGCAAGCAAGCAAGGCTTTATGCTGCAGCATGTAATTTAAGAAGATAGTCAAGGAATACAAGATTTAATAAGAAATCCCTACGCAGAAGTGTAGATACACTTCCATACTGAAGTTTCTGTTTTGCTAATGAAAGTATCTGTATAAATAGAGCTACAGCATGGCAGAGTGAAAACTGAGTCACTGATGGCCTTGATTTTTTAGAGGAGGAGCTGCGTTTCCTCCTCAGGGAAAACAGTAGAAAAAGACAGTGTAGTTTGAGAGACTATAGAGCAACTAGAACTAAATTTTGACCGATAGGTCAAGTTGTAGTTCAGCTGTTTGTTGCATATGCACAAATATGTTTTTCTTTTTGTCGACAGATATGTGTCTGTTTTTAAGTACATTCATACTCAGGCCAGAATAGCCCAACGGTTTAGCACTAAAGATAGTGTGAAGTGTGATTTGAGGTCAAGTATTTCACTGTGAAATGTTCAGCTTTGAGAAGCCTTAAAGTGCTTCTCTGGGCACATGGTATCACTGTGGTGCAGTGATGTGCAGCGTCTAGAAAACAAAATCAAAAGTATCCAGTACTATGCAATACCAGAATTATTGGGAATAATATTTTCTAATATTTGTGATGTTAGTTTTGTTGTGCTCTGTGAAGTGCTTCACTCCTCAACTCTGTGTGGTTTAATACAGTCCCACTGTGTTGGGCTTCTGAAAATACTTGCTGTTGCAATCTCCATCATGGGGTGGGGCTCTTTTTTTTTGGCTTATCATTGCAAAGACATTGCAAAGCTTGATTCATCTCGTGAAAAATACAATGTTTAAGGAAGCTGTCTTTTGCAGAAAAGAGTCTCATTGTCGAAGGAAAAAGAGAGAAAAAGAAAGTAGACCGATTGACTATGCAGGTATCTTCCTTACAAAAGGAACCTTTTACAATTACACCAGGTAAGCTTTTCTCTTGTATGGGAATTTTAAGTGTTTTGAGTAATAAAGTGATCAGGTTGTAGATGAGACTGAACTTAATGGAGTAATAGGACAGTTTAAAGTATAAAGCTATTACAGCTATGCCAAAACCCTTTTGAACATAAAAATTAAAGATGATTAAACTTGCCTTCAGTAGAAACTTCAGTGTCTAGACATAACTAAAAAAGGTAGGGGAAGCTAGAACTGAAAAAGGTTGCCAAGTCTGTGTATCTCTGCCTACGTAGTTTCAGGTAGGGTTTTATCAAGATGCCTATTGGTAGGAAAGGGGCTGCTAAATATTTGACATATTATAAGGTCTGATGCTATGCTGAAACATTTTATTTGCCTTTTTTTAAAAACAACAGCTATTTAAATTGTTAAGATGTAGGTAAATATGAATGTAATGAATCATAGAACTGATCTTAACTCTTTCAGGAAAAGGACAAAAACTCTGTGAAATCGAAAGGATACAGTTCTTTTTGAGTAAAAAGAAGACAGATGAACTTAGGAACCTACACAAACTCCTCTACAACAGGCCAGGCACTGTAAGAACCTAAAATCAATCCTGTATTTCTATTAGTTCTATTAGTTAAAATGTTTCCAGTATAGTGGGTTTTTTTTTTTTTTTTTTTTTTTTTTTAACAACTGCACACATAGATCTACTTCTTAAACACATAATTTATAGCCAACTATGTAGGAAATGAATTAATGTTACAGGAACAGTCAATTAAGCTCATATTTATTTTAACCCTTGTGAACTAGCCCTTTTCTAAAAATCCCGTGGAATAGTGTAGTGCATTATAAGCCTAGTTTTTCATATATATGTGTGTGTGTGTGTGTATATATATTTTCTTCCCTCCCTCGAGATAGATTTACCTTATGAGGACCAGTTAAAAACCATTTTTGCGGACATGCGGATTGTAGTTAAAATACTTAAAATGCAATTATTTTTGTTCAACATAAAAGAAACAGAAGAATATAGAAGTTGTTTAATATCTGTATTAGTGGGTTTTACTACCTGGCTGTTTACCAAGTCAGTTTCCCCTTCCCTTTGCGGGGAGCAGTAGAGAAAGAGGTCCAAAAAAAAGCCTTATATGTAAAACTTAGATGAGTTACAATTTCCTAATTTAAAATGAGACTGAATTGAAATATTAAATAGTTTATAGCTCTTTGCTATCTTTTCTAACCAGGGATGAACCTCAAAGAAAACACAATAGTAAATCTTTCTTGGAACCTTTTATATACCAGTGATCATACCTTAGATTTCAGATTAAATATGATGCACTTTTCTTGCTCTTAGGAGTGAAGTGGAAATAGAGAAACTGAAGTAGATTAAAATTTATCATTTCAATATACTTTCCATACCTGCAGGATGTCGTTTTTGAATCTCTATTTTTTTGAGGCTTAAAGTAAGTTGGCATAGAAATCAGGGATTGGATAGTATTAGTACAGATGCATGTTAGTTATAATGTCTCAAACCACTGTCAAAAATGCAATCATTGTTTAAATGCAAAGATCTACTGTCTCAACTAATCCGAAAAGGGGGAGAACTTTATATGCTAATCAAAACTTTTTTTTCTTTTTTTTCTTGGTGAAATATGATGCTTATTAAGTGTGACAATAAACCAGACTAGAGAATTTCTAATAAAATGCATGCAGAGGTTTGCAAATTTCTAGATACAGTGGAATTTCTTTTCTAAGAAAGGTGGAATGACAGAACCATCTCACTTTCTAGTTAAACTAGCTTTATAGTGGAAAAGATCAAACTGCATCCGTTTACCCTTTGAGACCAGTAGCACTTTTGCTTGAAATACTTCAGTGGGGATATTTTCAGTATCAATTTTAAGGTAAGATACTGAATGTGCGATTTCTTTCAGTGGCTTAGTGGTTTCTACCATGATTGGTTTTCTGGATTTTTGTTTTGGGTTTTTTTTGTATGTTCGTTTTCCTTCATACCTTCTTCATTTGGAGGCCTCAGTGTTCCCCCTGTCCCTCTTCAGATGTCCCTGAGACATAAGTGATTTAAGAGACTGTTCCTTAATTATGCAGCATATTGCTCAGAAACTAGTATCTCAATTATTAATGTTATTGATTACTAAATAAATTACTGAACAACTAGTAGTCAAATCGACTAATCAGACAAACTGGTCTTGCCAGCTTACAACTATATAATTTTGCACATAAATATGAAATACTATTTGTAACTTCAAATTGGGAGTCTGACTATTACCCTCTGTTATTGTTTCATGTGGGCACTAATGATGCCATGAGGAAAATGAGGGATATCAAGCGACACTTCAGAGCCCTAGGGATGGCCATTAAAGGTACGGGAGCCCAGGTAGTGTTCTCCTCTATTCTGTCAACGAGGGGAATGGATTCAAGGAAGAGGAGGCGGATATGGCAGATTAACAACTGGCTGCACCGCTGGGCTTGGCAACAGGGTTTTGGCTTCTATGACCATGAGACTTTTTTTTTATGACCACCATCTAGTGGGAAATGATGGGATCCATCTCAGCAAGAGGGGCACACGTCTCCTTGCCAAAAGGCTGGCCAACCTGGTTAGGAGGGCTTTAAACTAGACAAGAAGAGGGAGGGGGAGTGTCACACAGACACGGCAAGCAGTACCGTGCAGCCTAGGTCAGATGGCGTCCAGTGGGAGTATG